TCTTTCCAGGGAAAATACAGGAAACACAGCTTTACTGTAATACTACCTGTGACTTGTTGCATTTGTTTCTGTCACAAATTTATAAATAAGTATTGTGCTTAAAGTGAGATACGTGATTATGCCAAGTGGATTTACTTTGTACTGATGCTGGGGAATCCAGTGTTTAATAACTGTCTGCAGAGAGGTGAGTTAACTAGGCTACAGTTGAGAGGTCCGTGACTTCCAGGGGATGATGGGGACAACGATGACTGTTGTGTATGATGTGTCCAATGGTAAATGATCGAGCTGGGGGGGTGGGTTGTAGGATTAGATTTCTCTGACTTCTGACAACTCTCATTGAAGCTAAAAATGTCTTTCTTTTTCTGAAGTTTGGCATTGGAAGCATTTCCAGTGGAATTTTAAAACTAATTTTACTTTATTTGCAGCTTTAGTCAGTTCTCCATGATATGATTATTAATGGGACAAAGAGATCCTTGCACAAGCATTTCAGTCTCATTCCTTGTTAATGTTTGCAGCTCAAATCCAACCCTAGCAATAATGAGGAAAAAGAAGCCCAGACTCAGCTGACAAAGTCTGATGAGCTACAGCGCCTGCATTCACAAGCATTATCTGCCTACCAGCAAGAGGATTACGAAGCCGCTATTTCTCTTCTTGATGAAATCTTGGCAGTAAGTGTTAAAGTAAAATGGTACTGTGAAAGGGAAGTAAGAGCTTCTGTCTGACATCTGTGTATTTTTGTTTAATAACTTCTTCACTGATGTGAAAACGCTTGGTGTAATTGGCTCAGTTTTGCTGAGCCCCATGAGTCCATAATGAAGTTGGAAAGTGGAGAATGCTGAATGCTAGCTGCAAAAAAAGTCAAAATAATAGATTGTAGTTAGGGTTAAAGATACAACTTCAGCCAAACTTCTCTTAAGAATAACTTTCTTGATAATAATTTCCCATTTTGCCACAGTTCAGTGTTCTTGGGGAAGCTGGGAAAAATGTTGTTCTCAAACCAATGAAGTTTTGCCAGATACAGGAGGCATAGGGTTTTTATCTAGATTTTTCGTTGCCTATATGCAGGCAGTTTTTGTCTTGAGGAAATGAAATGACAAAAGATAAAAAAATCACGAAGTTAAAAATGTACATAGCTATCTGGACTTTTCAGCTTGTTCCTTAGATATCGCTATTTGAATCTTAATCAGTATAGGTAGTCTGATAGTATAAGTGTAAATAAGTCAATCATGTAGGCATTTTGTGTGTCATATTAAAAGACGGTTAACTGCTATGACTCTTCACATACAAATTAACACTGACTTGGAATTTACAACATTCTAGCTTTTGGTGAAGAAACTGCCAAAGTGTGGGAGTTTGTTTATGGGGAGGGAATGTGGAAAAGCAGAAAAGCCCCATTTTCTAAAAGACCCGGAATAAATTCTCTAAGACAAATTATGATAGGCAATTCCTCTTAAGTAATTATTCTTGCCATACTGTGACACTGTTACTTCTGTATAGATCTTTAAAATCCAGATACTAATGTCAAATCTTGCGTAGCTGAATCTTACCCACAATTGTCCTTTCTAGAGGACAACTGACAGCTTGGTCCTTGCTGCTCATTACCCTGATTCTTTTGGGAAGATATAATAATTTATGATTCTGATATCCTTCCCTGGAGGTTCAACAGACTGTCCCAGCTAAAGCAGTGCCAGTAGATTTAATTCATCTCCCTGCATGAGCTCATTGAATCATTTACAAATTTTTCAGGCCTTTGCTTTCTCTTTGGGCAGGTGCATCACAGCATCCACCAGGAAGCAGAGATGCTAGTCTCATGCGCTCTGCGTGCAGCTTGAACCTTATGCTATTGCAGTTGGCAAAGTGAAATTAAATGGGATTTTTCTTTTGTTGGGGAGGAAAAGAAGTGAAGTGTTATGGACCAAAAACAAGCTTTAATTTTGATTTCTCAAGGTTTGTGTTTGGGATGCAGAGCTACGGGAACTTCGAGCTGAGTGTTATATAAAGGAAGGGGAACCAAGCAAAGCCATTAGTGACTTGAAAGCTGCTGCCAAATTAAAGAATGATAACACTGAAGCCTTCTATAAAATCAGCAGAATATATTATCAGCTGGGGGACCATGAATTATCACTCAGGTAATTTTACTGTTTGCTGTAATCATTATAATTGAGACAGAAAATGTGATGATAAAGGTCATGATAAACTGTGAAATATCTGTGTTGTCTGGGTTTTGGATAGAGTAGCAACCCTGGTCTGGATCTGATAAAGGAAGCTCCTTTGCAGAACCTAAGAACTGGCAGTGAAGACACCATTCTTGGCAGACCAGCCATCAATGGTTCCTAGCATCTTGTTTACTAAATAGAAGCACTACTTCTATTTAGAAGCTGTAGTGCGGGTCCATCAGAGTTGCTTACATTTACTGTCTTTATTGTATTTCTCCATCCTACAAGAAAGTGCTTCTCTAAACTTGCTTTGGTGGAGCCTTTTTTTTTAACCTTGAACCTCCATTCAAGTTAAGTTTACAATGTAAACAAAAAATGTATGCGTGAAGTCTTAGGGCTAGATTTTTATTTTCAAGAGTGGAAACAAAAGGTTACAAGCTTAAGAATAAATAAAAAGTACAGGAGCATGCAAGTATGAGGAGCTGGGGATCCAGAGCTGTCAATCTTTCATTCTTGCAGACAGTGTCCAGTATTTTGGATGATTTTTTGATAACGTCCTACCCTTTTATTCATACTCAGTTGTTTAAGGTGTTACTCCCATACATCCCTAGTCAGTCCTGCAGATAACTGCCCTTGCCCAATCTGGACTGTTAACTTCATACTCTGTGCTCAGCTGGACAGACTGTATAATCCTTCTTTTTGCACACAAGTGATTTCTGTGCAGCTCATCATCTCAGATGTGCTACCTGCATCTCCAGACTCCTTCCAATATGGTTTCTGCCACAGAATCTGTTCAGGAAGAGGTGAAGGGAACTGAAAAAGCCTGAGTTTCTTTTCTTGGCGGTGTATGACAGGCTGGTGGATGGAAATTGCATATGATTGTAAAATTAATTTTTGCAGTTATAGCTGGGCAAAAGTAAATGCCAAATAACTAATTGGTTTGCATTAGGGATCCCCTTTCCGGAGTATACTTAATCTCTGGAGCTCACAGGTCACTTCTGTGGTGACTTTTGGTAGCTGACTATCACTTAGGCTAGTGATTTCAAGAATAGGTGGGTGGTTTTTTTTTTCCTCTGAAATCCACACATGGACTTCCTCTGTTAAGTAATAAAATCTCAAGGGTTTTTTTAAGTACAATTGAGAGAGCTGTTGAAGAACAGAATGGTATCAGAATGAAGGGATAAGCCTCTTTTCTTTATTCTTTGATTCTATTTTTTTCATCATAAGTTATACTAAGAAAGAGTTCTATAGCTCTTGGACTTGCTGGGTGATTAATCTTGACCTTCCCTTAGTTTCTTCCTCTTACCTTTACAGGCTTAATGATTTTCAAATAGTAGATATTTTTGTCTGTGCTTAGGAACAAAATAAGATTTTGTGATCTCTTTTCTGAAAAATATCACCTTGGTTGTACTGTGATGTCTCTGTATGATACAAAACTTTTATTCCTTCATATGACTGCATTCTGGAGTGTTTTTTTTTTAAGACTTTTGACTATTTTAAGAGTTATCTGCCCTAATCAGAGTCTGATTAAACAGTCTTTACAGTGAAAAGTCAGGCTCAGGCTTGGCTGATATTCTATCAAGAGGAGGTTTGGGTCATAGCTGAGTTTTGTCTGTTTCAGGCAGCATAAAATATACTTCTGCATAGGTGTTTTGTAATATAGCTGTGTTAAATATGTAGGAAAATAACAAACAGTTGTATCTGATAAATGCTGAATATAATTTCTTTCCCAGGGTATATTTTTCTTCTGCTGTTTAGTCAGTTATTAATGTAACACTTCTCAATCTTTGCATATTTGGCAATACAAAATAATTAAAAACAAAACCAGACAAATATCCCTGTATGTTCTGGAAGACTTTTTTGTCGCACTTTAAATTCATTCTTGGATGAAAGGAGAGATTGTGTAAAGAAGTCAACTGTTGTTCTGGACAGCTTATAGATGCCGCATTGTGTCTCTAAGTGCAACTTCATAATGTGTGGTGATGTCTTTCTGTTTTGGCTTTTTTTTTCCTCCCTACGTCCATTTGAAAAGTGAAGTCCGGGAGTGTCTGAAACTGGACCAAGACCATAAGCAATGCTTCTCTCTCTATAAGCAAGTAAAGAAACTCAATAAGCAGATCGAGTCAGCAGAGGAATTCATCAGAGAAGGCAGGTAAGTGTTCACTGCTGTACTAAAAAAAAAAAAAAATCACTACTGAGGTGCCAACTTATTATTGATTGAGGAGTTGATTAAGTGATGCTTTTTGCATCTGTCAGTTGAAGTGGATAACTGAGCACAGCTCTCAAATTACAATTAAAATAAATATTGACTCACATAGTGACAATCCTGTTCTGATTCCTCTGATGCCATTGTCTCCTCTTTGCATACTTAACTTCTTTGTGGAGCAGGTAGTAAGACCAAGATAGGGATAATATTTGTCAGCTCTCGTATGTAATTACTTAGCACTGGTGAGGCCACACCTGGGGTGCTGGGCTCCCCAGTACAAGAGAGATGAAGCTGCTGAGAGAAAGTCCAGCGAAATGGACTGGAGCATCTCTAACCTGTGAGGAAAGGCTGAGATAGCTGGGACTATTCCCCTGAGCCTTCTCTGCTACAGGGTGATCTCATCAATGTATATAAATACCTAAAGGGAGGGTGCAAAGAGGGCGGAGCCAGGCTCCTTTCAGTGGTGCCCAGTGACAGGACCAGAGGCAATGGGCACAAACTGAAACAGGAAATTCCATTTGAACATACGGAAATGCTTCCCACCACCCCCTCGTTCGCACTGGGGCAGGTGGCCCAGAGAGGTTATGGTGTCTCCCCACGTTGGAGATATTCAAAATCTGTCTGGACATGGTCCTGGGCAACCTGCTCTAGATGGCCCTGCTTGAGCAGGGGGTTTGAACCCGATGACCTCCAGAAGTCCCTTCCAACCTCAACTACTCTGATTGAAGGACCACATCTTTAGACTAAAACTACCTAGTAACGCTGCAGTGCCTTGATGGCGAAAGTGGATCTGACTGATGGGCTTTTACGCACCCTGTTAAATGACAGGCAATGCCTCTGTAGTCTTCCACTTCTTGCTTTATTTCAGTTTTATGTGTTGCCAAGCACACGACATCCAACTGTAAGGACTTGAATTTCTCCTAGCTTGTACCAACCCATGGGTTCAATCACACACTTGCATTTTTAGGTGAATGTTCTAATCCATTTCTTACTCAAACCATGGAACTTTAGCGTCTTTGAAACCTTCACAGCAAAAATACATTTTACGATGTGACTTGCGGACAAGAAGGAAGGGGGAAAACAACTGCCCGCTTCAAGCTGGCATAAAGAACTTCTTTCTTTTTTGTACCAAGAAATGCAAATAGTACAATGCTCACAACAAGACTCCAGACTTAGTCCATCTCAGATATCGGAGAGGGAGATGCTTTTTTTCTAAGTGCAAAGTGGCGTGTTGGACAGGAGGCAAATCTAGAGACTGTTGTCTGTGCACACTGAGGGATGGTAGTTGTTTTCTTCTGCAAAAGCCTGCCAGGCATAGTGCCTGCTCTTCTGTCTCATAGCACAGAAAAGGGAGTGGGGATGTCATTCTTGAAGTGGCTGAAAGTTTTCTTCATAGTGTTGTCTCACGCCACACCTTTAAGACTATTGAAGTTAAGGTACATTGCTAGAAGGATGTGAAAATCTGTGAATCTTAAAATTTTAAAATTTGTAAATAAATCACAACACCCTGAAATAGTTATTACATTTCATATTATGCTTATCTTTATGATTTAAACAGGTATGAAGATGCTATCAATAAATATGATTCTGTAATGAAAACTGAGCCGGAAGTCCCAATTTATGCTACTCGTGCCAAAGAAAGGATCTGTCACTGTTTATCAAAGGTAATTCTGCTTCTGTCTCCCTCTGTAAATTTCTTTAAAACAACCAACCAACCCCCAAAACCCCACAACTACGTGAGTTTTTTGTTTTACTTTCTCCTCTCTAGAATCAGCAGGCTACAGAAGCCATAAAAGTTTGTACAGAAGTTCTGGAACTGGAACCAACCAATGTGAATGCCCTGAAAGACAGAGCAGAAGCATATTTGCTGGAAGACCTGTATGAAGAAGGTACAGTTGAATGCAGTTTGCACGTACTTTTTTGTGGGCGTTTAAAATGCAGTCAGTGTGTCAAAATTTTTTAACATGCACTTTGATTCTACACTGTTGTTATCCCTAATCAGCACTGGTAGTTGCAGATTTACAAAAATACCTGCTAGTAATTTTGTCTTGATTAGTATAAGTGGAATGTACTTGTTTTATCTGCAGCGGAGTTGTCTTTACAACAGTGGGCTATGTTCAGGATGTTTTATGAGACTGTACAGCTTATTCAACTTACTTAAATCCATTTTATATAATCAGCAACATCAGACAATTCCATTTAGAGATAAAAGGTAATTATAGGGTGATGTAAATCCATTTTAGGAACTCCATTTTAATGTCTTTAGATGGCAGCATGAAACAATACTGTTCTATCCCCTAGCATATGTTGAGGGCAGAGGAAGATAACGGCCATTGCTTCACCTCCATGGGTCTCTGTAGTGCTGCCAAGAGCCGTAAACTGATTCTACTCATGAGGCTGCATTTTCCATACGGGGTTTCCATAAAATGCCTACTGTTATGTGGTCCCATCTACAGCCTTGGAAAATAGGGACTGAGTAATGGGTGTCTCTGAGTACACCATTATGCTGTTACCTAGCTTCTTTAAGAGTACTAAGTGCTAATGTGCTATAAAAAAAAATCTTCAAAATTTAATTTAGTGAATCTCATTTCCACAAGAAACCAGGCTTAAGAAGGAAATTGGACAATCTGTCTGTTCCACCCCCGTGCTCAGTCATGCAACAGTTTTTGAAGTATTGGGCTGTTCCAGTCAGATGTGATGAGGGAGAGGACTTTGAGACTTTAGATCTGCAGAAAACTATTCCATTAATTTTAGTACTCACAGAAAAGGAAAATTGTTCTATATTCTGGTACTGGATCTTTTGCTTTACAACTGAACAAAAAAAATCTTTTCGATTTAAACATTCATGAAGGCAGCTGTTCTCATTAATAGCACGCTCAAATTTTTTTTGTCTTTTTGAGAAATTAATCACTGAGAGATGATATTGCTCACCTCTTGAAGTTCACTTCAGAAATTTTGTTCTTTTTTTAGGCCTCCTTGACTCAAATGTAAACATGGTATAAAGAGGACTGGTGTAGTTTCAGGCCATCCTCTTCATCAGCCCTGTAGACTTCGTACTTCTGAAGTGACCTAGTCCTACTCCCTCTTTGCTGAGGCTGGCAAGCTTTCTTCCTCCTTATAAGAAAAAGGGTGGAAGACAGCAGCATTTCAGAGAACTGATGACCATTGTACAAAGGGATTGCTTAAAAAAAAAAAAACAAACCCAAAGTGTGAGGAAAAACTGTCTTTCTGTTTTTCTTAGGGTAATGTTTTTCCATCTTTTGATTGTTTAGAACTGCAGTGTCAACCTAAAAGTAAGGCTCAGGAAGATTTCACAGTGATGAGGTCCCCTTTGGGCATTTCCTCATCTTTTTCTGTACTTCAGTACAGTGGAAGTAAGCTCAGTCAGTGTTGGGAGAAGCAGATTTACAAATTAATAAAAAACCCCACTTCCCTAAAAATAGTTAAAGGTACAGAATGCAAATCTACATAGATTATGGCTTGTACAAAGGTTTTTGATTTAAGAGGGAGGAGTATCAGCCAAAGGGGAACCCAAAGAAAATTTAAGGTTATTTTTTTCCCCTCAAGGTGTATGAATCTTCAGCTTAGAGGAGGGTACAGAGAGAGGCAGGCCAAACAGGCCCGGCTGTGAGTCCTCTTAGGGGTACCTTTTGCTTCTTACTAGAGGACAGAATTGATCTGTTTGTTGTTCTTGAAATTGATGAATCTCAATTTGGGTCTTTCTAACATTATCTTCTGTTAAATCCTCATCTATTTCTGGTTCCTCTAGGGTGAGAGAATCTGGCAACTCTTGCAACTTAGGGGAGGGGGGGGAAGTTTTGTAACAAGGTCCCGCACAAATGCGCAGAGCCAGCTTGGTCTCTTGTGCTGGAGCAAATGCCTCCCTATTATGGGATATAAGGAAACGCAGAGAAGACACACCGGGGATTGGGGAGGGCTTATTTCCTGGGCCTGGTTGAATGGACAACCATGCTAGAGTGGAACCGTGCTCCTCCAAATCCCTGCTGTTGGGCATATCCCTTGCCTTCGTCCTGCCCTTGACAGTAGTGAGATGGTTGTAGTTACACTCCTCCTTCCAGCAGAGCCTCCATAAACAGTATTACAGTCCATTAATGTTAGTCTGCCTGAAGGTGTCTTCACTTATCCCTCAGTTTTAACTGCTATAAAATGATGGCTGATTTCTCTCTGCTGTAGAGAACAGTAGAGTAATTAAAAATGTAGTCTCATATTTAAAGGGGCGAACTGATTCTCATTCTTCCCTCAAGAAGACTTCAAGCTGGAGGCACCTATTTTCCTGTTTAAAGACAGGAAATTTCAAAGTACTTGTAATTCAGAGCTTTGAAGGCTATTATTGTTGAGTGTTCAAGATGCACTTCAGTATGTATAGCTGAGTTCTGATTCCCATCAAATGGTTTTAATTACTTTATAATCACATGGGATCCAGGGCTTGTCTACTGAGACAGATGTGTAATGACTCCCTTTCTGGCTTACCTCATAAGTACAGGAGTCTATCTGTCTAAAGTACACAGAACAAGTTTTGTCAAAGAAGAAAGAAGAAAAACCACCTTGCTGTTTCAAAATTGGTCAGGACATCCTTTTTTTTTTCCCCTTCCTCTCCCCACCCTACTACTGTAGAGGAAACAGTCCCTATTTTAGTAAGAGCATAACTGGTTCAGTTATTCCTCTAACAGAGTTGGCGTGGACATAGGTTGTCTGCAGTTACTCATGTTTGATAGGAAATTAATTCTGCATATGGAATAATGGCCAATCTTGGTCACTCAATTTTAAAGATGCAGGCAAGATAGGAAAGCCAGCTAAGGTGTTTAGAGATACGATGCGTTTACTATTCGAGAGCTTGTAAAGACTCTTATATTGAAAGAAGGAGAGTTAGATTTGACTAAAGTGTTCAAGTTGAAAGTGATACTGGAAACTGGTTGTTCTTTCATGTCGTGGGACAGGATGAAAGGAAGAAAGGATGCTCTCTGAAATAGCAGGCCAGTAAGAAGCAGCAGTGATTCTTGTGTTGATTTGAGGTACTAGTGCTTTTAGAAAGAGTGACTGAGAAGAATTGATTAAATATCTCACTTGACATACCGTGAATTAGTAATAAATCTCCTGGTTTCATAGCAAACTTCTTGTGGTCAGGAAGCTGTCACCCTGCTTCCAACCCTCACCCCTCAGGTGGGGACAGCGATTAGCTCTCGAGGGGGAAAATTGCTGCACTGGAGGGTACCATCAAAATTGAAGTCTCTTCCAGCTGAGAGAAAGTGCAAAATGTACTTGCCGTCAGGTGTGCTGGGTGCATTCCCTCTGCGGTGTGCAGCACTAACAACATACCTTCCCATATGCTTAATACTTGCAGCCTTTAAATAAGGGAGTCAATTTAAAAAAAAGAGGAATCAAGTACTGTCATTGCAAATACTTGACCCCTGAGCAGCTTGGTTGCCAGCAGTGGTGCCTGCTGTAGATGATGTGGTGCTCAGTGAAGTTGAGCAATCTGATCTGCATTTGGCAGGATGTTGTGATGGGACCTCCATTATTACATGAAGCAGATTAAGTGTGCTGGTGCTTAAAATTATTGGAGCAGTAAAGCAGTGTAATGAAATCCCTGCATTTTCATTATTTTTATCAGTTTTGACAGCATATATTGGGCACATGCATTAGTGTATGCCCTTTTTTGTTGTTTTTTTTAGTGACTGGACAAATTATTAAAAATAGCAGCAGAAGCCAAAGTGCTTTGTTCAGGCAGCGAATGACAGTGTCCAGTGATGTGAAAATGAATAGAAATTTTGTTTTGTTTGTAATAGCATATGAAATTGTTGGGGCACTGAAAATACTTTTTTGGATTTTTTTTTTTTCAATAACCAAAACAAGATTGCAGTGGTATCAGATGTCTGGTAATACAAATTCATTAGCACTTCCTGCTGTCTTGCTCAGAAACAGTGAAAAACAAATGTAACACCTGCTGAGAAATAGCATCTGCTTGGAAATAATCTGACGCAAGTACTTTACTTGAGAAACCTAGGAGACTTGGATCTGCAAATGAGACTGAGGATTATAACAGTGAAAGAAGAGCAGTCTCATTAAAGACTTCAACGGTTGCTTCCCTTGATAAATCTTGATATCAAAGAATATTTAAACTTGGTGTCTTAAGCGTTTGGTTACCACTTAAAATAATAATATAGTTTACTTTAAAAAAAAAAAGTGTAGACCTGGAATTTCTTAAAAATTCATGAATACCTTTCTTGCTTTCATTTCTCAGAAATGCAACTCTTGAAATAAAAGCAAGAGCATGCCTTTGGAAAAAAAAAACACTTAAAATACAACATATTATGCAGAGGCGTAAAAAGGGAATATTTGTCTTTCACGAACAGCATGAACTTATTGGTAATCTGAAATCCATCTTTATTGTCATTAAAGAGGAAGAGGCTTTCTATCGTGCTGATTGAGTGCAGACTGTGGGAGAAGAAGGAATATTAATTTAAAGACTCTGTATAATGCATCCTTCAGTTGAACAGCGACGTATGGGACTAACATTGTGCAGTGTGCTCTTCAAATACTAGTTGCTGAAACTTGCTTCTTGATTCCTGTCCCAGTCCTACATGCTCGTTATGTTCATCCATGTGAATGTCTAACATTTAGAGAGTGTTCTGACCTGCTGCTAGTAACCTCCCTTCTCCTTCCTTTCCAAAAAGCGTGATGAACCTAAAGAAAGTTACCTAATTTATATGTGAAAATGAATCTCCTCTACTCCAAGGTTTTTCAGTTTCGAAAAAAAACATGGCAAGTTGAAATAAAAGTTTTGCTGTTTATATACGGTAATAGCAAAACTTCAGTTTTGGTGAGTGGTTGAGTTCTCTAAATTGAAGTTAGTAAAGATTTGTGTAACCTTTTTTCATTCACTTTTTTTATAAAAGCTATTAAAGACTATGAGACTGCTCAAGCCAATAGTGAAAATGACCAGCAGATTCGGGAGGGGCTAGAACGTGCCCAGAGGATGCTGAAGCAATCGCAGAAGAGGGATTACTACAAAATCTTAGGAGTAAAAAGGTGAGATACTAATATCCGAGATGATGACGTCAAAGTTGGTTATTAAACCAGTACATCTAGGGCTGATCACTTGAATTTGTTCTGCTGAGTGTTAGTTTTTGTTCCCGTATCTTGCTACCTTCGCTTTCCTACTGTACTAGTTTAGCAGTGTTCAGCTTTTAAGTAGCATTTGTTTACAATTCCTTTAGAAGGAATGAAAAAACAACATTGGGAAGGAAGGAAATAAATCCCTTGGCAAGAAATTCTTAGTATAGATGATCAAGAGTCAGGTGAATGAATTGGGGAAGAAATGAAGACTGGAAAGAATTACTGAAAGCAACAAAAAATAAAATTGTGGCAGATAGTACGACGGATTGGAAGAGTTTGAAAGGACTAATTGAAAGGTATCTGAAATACTTCTGCCATTAACCTGGAGAAACAGGCGATTTCTTTCTAATGAGGACCAAACAAATGTCCAGTTCTGAACTAGTATTGGTGATCCTTCCAATTGTGAACTAATTTGATCTCTACTTTGTGCTTTTTGTTACTCACCTGATTGTAAATTCTTCAGACTGGGAACTGTATTCTGTATAGTAGCTGACAGTAGCATCTTTCCAAAGAAAGTAAACGGGTGGTGAAGGAAAGTGAGTAATTTTTGTTTAAAGTTGCAACCTGCTTCCTCTGTTTTTTGTGTAAAGAATCTTCAGTACCACCTGCATGAAGGTTAACTAACTCATAATTTTCCTGATGCCCTTAATTACTGTCTCAGCGTTTAAAATAAACCTGTAGTTTCGGTAGTGTGGCATATGAACAATTAGAAAATTAAGTTACCTGTAATTTTATCCATCCAGAAATGCTCGAAAGCAAGAAATCATAAAAGCTTACAGAAAGCTGGCGTCCCAGTGGCACCCTGATAACTTCCAGAGTGAGGAAGAAAAGAAGAAAGCGGAGAAAAAATTCATTGATATAGCAGCTGCTAAAGAAGTCCTCACTGACCCAGGTAATGATTGTTCTTACGCAGTGACTTCATTTTTTTTAATTACTTTTTTACAGTAATGTAAAAATGAAGCAAGTGTAAGCCATAATAAGCATTACAGCTTCCCTTTTTCCCTTTCCCCCCTTATCCATCTTGAGGAAGCACTGCACTAATACTTGCATCCGATCTGTTGCATGAAGTCAGACGTAAACCGAGAATTATTTATCGTGTTTCAGTGACTTTTGTTTGAAATAATAATTTTTATTTGACTTTAAAGGTCTCTTGTTAGGATATCATCTTGCAGAGATTTCCAGGACTGATTAACTCTGGAGATGCTCACTTGAAGGATGTGGGTGTCTCCTTCTGCCTAAAGTTCTATTGCAAACTACATTTAGATTATAAGAGCACCTGAGGTACTCCAGAGGAGCCCTCAAAATTGGCCCTTGTTGTGCGTATCGGAGCCTAGATGCATCGTGCAAACAGATTCTCTGCAGACAGAGCACTTCCCCGAGGGCAGGGGACTGAGTTCTCGGTTCCTATCGGCCTGAGGGAGAGGATGCCCTCGCTGCTGGTCTGTGACCAGGCTCCTGGGGCCGGCCCAGTCCCCAGGAGCAAGGAGCCCTGTCAGGTCTGGCTGTCTGCTCGTCAGCTCTGGAGGAGGGGAAAAAAGTGAAGAGTGTGGTCACTCTCCTGGGAGACCCTGTGGTGTGGCGACTAGGAGATCTGATGTCTGTCTCGCCAAGAGATGAACGGAAGGGTTTGGACCACTTAGTCTCAAGAACGTAATAAAAACCGAGGTGGTGTGGTTATCTCACCTCCTTTAAAAAACAAAACAAAAAAAAAACCCCGAGCAAACAAACCCAAAAACCCCAACCCCAACAAAAAAACAACCAAACAAAAACCCCCTCAACCAGAGCCACCTGTTAAGTTCTTGTCTTCAAACTGTTCCTGTATGGTCACTGGAAAGACGGAAGCAGGTAAAAGATGTAGATATCGGAGGCTTCCGTTTTTATGTTCAACTCTTCAGGATCATCTAAGGGATAATTAGGCAGATGGGCTCAGACTTTCTTGGGGGAAGGAGGGATCTGAGAGTGATTAACTGCATTACAAGCACTTCTGGTCAGAAAACCTTTTTCTGTGTTAATGTGATCTTTTGCTCATAATTATGAGCACAAATTAGGAGATTTATATACTGGAAGTGTTAGAGGTGCTGTCTGCCCTGTCAGCATCTCCAGGACATGCTCATCTACTTTCTCCTTGACACTGTTGCTTATGTCATGTTTACCATTCCTGTCAAACCAACTGGGCAAGAAAAGTCACACCGGTCGTATTTGGCTTTTGTAATGCCATCTGTATTGCTTTCCGTCTCTTCTTACTGCGATGACGTCCTCTCCTTTCATCCAGATATTTTTCCTAGGTCATTTCCTGGCTCTAGTGACCATGTTGGTTATGTAAAGAAAAACTATAAAGCCTGCAGGCCTCTGAATCTCTGAGCTTTCATTTGCAAGCTTATTTATCATAGGGCTCTGGTGTACTTCGAGGCCATCTTCCGCATTCCTCCCCAGCCAGTCTCATGATTCCCCCCCTAACCAACTCCTTTGCTTCCCTTCTCTGCCTTGATGAAATGGGTGTCCTGAAAAAGTGCCGGGTGATCAAAAACCTTGTGGCGCTTGCAGGCTGCTGGAAAGTTACACGCGGGGGTAAGCAAGAGCGTAGCGGCGTAGCCTGTGACTTGTCTGTGGGTCTTGGGGAAGGCTTTCGACTTTGTCTCCGCTGGACTAGACTACTGAAAGAACACGCTTTCTGCCTCCAGACTGCTGTCCCCTAGACAGCTCTCTGCCTGAATGGCATGTGGAGAAGATTGAAAACGTTTGGGGCTCTGCCTGCTGACTTCCGTGCTGTTGCTGAATGATCAATACTGGAACGTATTGGTTGTGAAGAATTGGCAGGATACAGCGTGGTCTGTCCTCGGACCATCCTGAGCGAGCGCAGCTATGAGAGAATAGGTCCAATAAACTCAGCAAGGACAAGACGTCCCAATTATTTGTGGACAAAGTGCAACTGTCCTGTCCCTGTTGAAATTCATACCTGTCCTTGACACTTGCTTACGTCATGTTTACCATTCCTGTCAAACCAAGCCAGGTACTGTCTTGCCTTGTTTTAAACCAAATGACTCGTTTGAAGTTTTCACGGAGTTAGTCTCTTCTCTGCCGGTCTCCTGGGCAGCTTTGGAAAACTCAAAGTAATTAGGTTCTAGAGATGCTGCCAACACAAGTGATAATTGCAGCTCTCTGGGTTGGCGGAGGGGGGGCAGTTGGTTATTGGTCGTCAAAGATGCTTGGTGTTACTGCCCTAACTGCTGTGCCATGATTCCACCTTGGTTTTGTTTCCTTCAGAAATGAGGCGGAAGTTTGATGCGGGCGAGGACCCACTGGACGCAGAGAGTCAGCAGGGTGGGGGCAACCCTTTCCACAGGAACTGGAACACGTGGCAAGGATTCAACCCCTTTGGTTCTGGAGGAGGACCGTTTACATTCAAATTTCACTTCAGTTAGAGCCAAGACTGTTTCTGGTGGCGGCTGCTGTTTTCTACTTAATTCGTTGAAAAATAAAGAGTCTCTCGGTTCAAGACCCAAAATCTTAATTGCTAAGGTTGTCCTTAACCCAGAGTCTTACTGCACCAGAAGAAAGCTCCTTCTTTCTTTTTAGTATTCAAAGAGTTTGCTTTGTGGTGAACTTGACAAGCTCGTACTGCTTGGGGGGGGGTTGTTACTGCCTATGTATTTGTTGTGGATATGCAGGACATGTTTATTCCTATGGATGGGAAAAACAGTGAGAGGCTACTTAGGACAACACTTAAACACAAATTTAGGACTCAAGTATATGCTTAAAGGTAAAAACGCATGTAAATATTTTTCTGAATCGGGGCCTAATAAAATGTGGAAAGGGTAGTTACGATAGTCTCTACGTTAACAAATCGTTAGTCGTCGCGCTCAGCAGAATGAGCTGTCTCTCAGTATTCTGAAAAGGAGGCCCTAGTGACCACCGGCGGTGTTACTGTCGGCAGTGCCGTGGGTAGGGTGACGAGGCTGCCTACGGAATGAGTCTGGACAACCGCTCTGAAAGAAGATCGCTTGTAACTAATTGTGTTTGAAAATGTCTACTCGCTTTACTCATTAACCTGAAATGAATTGGGATGATTTCCTTGGTGGTAGTTGTCAAATATGAAAGTAAAAAAATATACCTGATGTTTTTTGAGAGACTTGTTCTGAATGTGATTTGGGATGTGTAGGTATCATTTTTGAGTAGTTTGCACTTTAACAAAACGTCTGCTTGAACTTTGAGCAAAAAAATTTGATGTGACATTTCCCCGACTGTGCAGCAGTTTGTTACTTCTCCGTACGTAAACTCAGAGCCGGTACGGGTTGTGAGGTGAGCGTACTGCAGACTGTACGAATGCGCTATTAACTCTGGCCTTCCCCCCGTAATACAGCTTCATTTCTGCTGGGAGGTGCAGCAGGGAGTCAGTACTCACCGTGAAACTGTTTGAAGTAATTTTATGCTTTGTGTAACAGCCACAGTACTGCAAAAACAACTGCCTGTGCGCAGAAAGAGGAACTAGCTTTCCATTAGCCAAAAGTCTGGTTTATTTTTTCTATACGCACGTAGCTAAGATTGGTTTGGTGTATTGATCGAACTGTGTGGATGCGATGTGAGGTATTACCAGGAGCGTAGCTGCTGTGAGTGAATAGTCTCCTCATTCTGTAGCCGAATATATCGTAACTACTGATGAGTTTCATCAGCAGCCATTTTCTTAGAATGCAAGAATTACAGTTCATCAGTGTTTTCTTGATTGGATTTTAACTGGAAAACAATAATCAGTTGATCGGAATCTTCTCTGCTTCAGCTCATGGCATTTGAAAGCATAAGCAGCCTCGGTAAAACAAACGAAACTGGCAAATAAGGCCTTCCATCTGAAAGCGAGTGTTTTATTACTGTAACCGGAGTTGCTGTTGAAGCATAACACTTGTCTCCTGCCTCAAGTACTTTACAGACATAATTGTGAGGCCATGTGGCTTCGTAAAATGTTTTCCAACAGCAAT